AATAAAAGATATATCCGTTTAGTTTACTGATTCGAGTTTTTAATTTGAATTGAGATGTAATTTTATGTAAGAGCTTTTTACTGTAGTAAAAAAGTTAAATGTGACTGTTTTTTAGAGCTTTTTACTGTAACAAAACTCGAATTATAAATTTGAATCGGTGAAATGAACAGAGCTATTTCTCTCTGTAGTGTTCTCTCTCATTTTACTCACGATTCATGAACGTTAGAAAGCATGGACGAAAATGAAACCAAAGCTATTAGCTCAAGTATAAGGTTTAGAACAACTTTGGCAATTTAATACGATATCAAAGTATGTGGTCCAAAGTTTGGGAGCATGTAACATAATTATGATGCATATCGCTCCGCTAGTCATATAACAATCATTAATAAATGGCTATGTGACATAAGGCTGGTCCAGAATTTCCTATATGCATGGATGGTTTAGTGTTCACTATTGAAATAATAGAGTGGAGGCCAAAAACATAAAGATTATTAAATTGAAAATTTAAAGTGACAACTCAACAATATTACGTTCTCTAGCTTATTTTCTTTCCATGAAAAAAAAAAAAGATTTCTAAGATCTCGTTCATTTCACCGATTCGAGTTTTCAGTTTTAAGTTTCTACAGTTAAAAGCTCTCAAACAATGTCATATCTAACCATTTCTGTTACAATTAAAAGCTATAAGAAAATGTCACATTTCAGCTCGAATTAAAAACTCGAATCCGTAAAGTAAATAAGGCATAAGTTTGAAAAAAATACTCTATCAATAGGATCGTATTTTAAATTATTAAATATGTATATGGTTTTATCAGTTTTGTTTATATTATTATTATTGCTTATTTATTTAGTTTGATGAGATTTTAGCATATCTAATTTTCAAAAACACACTACTAGTAAGGTGTCTTATGCTCCCTATAAGAGCAATCCTATATATTCTGATTGAATTTCTCCGAACCCTCTCATAGAGGGTAGGCTCCACTAGTGGGTCCCACTCTCTATGTGAGTGTTTAGAGAAATCCTAATCGAGATAAAAAACATTTTTACTCTAAAAATAAGTCATTCTTTATGTGATAATCATATTAAATTAAGAAAAATATAATGATTTAATAAAATTTGTCGAAGATATAATGATTTGTAGTGTATTTTATCAGTAGGTCATATTTTATACTCTACCACAAAGGGTACCTATAATAACCATGGTTGCCTATAGTTTTTTTTTTTTTTTTTGGTTAAATTAGCTTGTGCTTGTTATGAGAAGATGATGCTGCAAGCTGGGTGACGACTCTCCAGTGTTTCTGGTCCCATTTTTGCTTTCTTCATTGGACGTTAAGTCCCCAATTCGTGTCCTACCAAGTTAAATAATTTGGCGGGACCCCATATGCTGTCAAAAGTGTTACATCGTCCAGTTATTATACAAACCTATTAGTGACCTTTTTCAGATGCTACAATGCAATGTTACATAAAATGCAAACTGTCCCGCCTTTGCTTTATCCAGACATTGGAGGAGCCAATGTTATAGAGTGCACTGGCCAAAGGGTATGGTGAGATACCTTAAAAATGATATTTGATACAAATATCATATATGAGAGGACATTGATGTGCATTTTTTACAATCTCAATCATTTATATTTGACAAATTCATAAATGGCCGAATATAAGATTCTGTGTGACATAAGGACAACCATATAAGTTTGGTTTGTGTTCTAAAATTACAAGTGTTTTAGAATGATAGTCTTGTTCTTTTCAAAACTCAAGTTCTTTTGTTACAGTGTTTTCTCTTAAAAAAATTCAAAAACTCTTTTGCTATAATGTTTTGGAATATTAGTTGGGAATGCTGATCTCAAAAGCATAGTTTTTAATTTTTGGATATTTTTAAGAATAAAGCAGGCTGAAATGAGAACAGACACTATTGTAATATTATATGTATATTCTTTTTTTTTTTTTTTAAATTTGATCTAACCATTATCAAAACGAAAAACTAAGTAAAATTATCAAATATCGTGCAAAACAGAACCTATTTGTAGTTTTAGATCACTTTTTTTTTTTTTCTTTTTTAGGGACCTGGTTCTATCTTAACCAAACAGTCAAAACTCACACACTCAAACCAGAATGAATAAGGGAAAATTGAAGAGAATCAAGGGAAATTTTTATTGATCAACTTCAACACTAGCTCAAACAAGTCACAACCAGCAAGGAAAATCAAGAAAATTACAAAAGATACTCTACAGTATTCGGGGATTTCGGAGAACTCTCAATTCTAATCCTAAGATCCAATCAAACAACAATAGCCAAAACCAAAGACTAATCAGCATTAATTTCTGAAAATTACATCCAATCTCCCAATCCTATTCTTTCTTCCCAATTTTCCGCTCCTCTCCTAAACTTGCCTGAGGTTTGATTCCTAACATTTTTTCGAGGGTTTTGTTCTTGATTTCAAAATTCATTTCATTAATTCCAAAACAGCCCTAGGCCAATAAACAATCTACAGTTAATTTAACTATATAACATGTCTAAAAGGTGGTTGTTGATTTTTACCATTTTATTTCATTTCGACTTTCAAATTGTATGAAGTCTATATTACCCTTCATTTTATATAAATTCCTAACTCTTAAGTTAATCATTGATTAACTTCAGTTAATCAATAATTAACTCTAAATAGTGAGCGATTGACTGACAAACTCTAGTTAGTGATTAACCATATTAGGTTGTCTGGGATAAAATTGTCTTTTTATTCATTAGAAGTGGTATGTTTCAAATTTTTTCACAGAAGTGGTCTTTTCCTATAGACCCTCCATGATATTGTATTGTTGTCCGAAACTCATAAACTTGTGGCATCCACCCTTCAATTTCAAAGCTGCCATAGAGTGGTCAATTGAAATCTACATGGAAATTGCCAGCTTAGCGTCTTCTTGAATCAACCAAGGGGCAGTGACTGTTTAGTAGGGGTTGATTTATGGCTTCTTCCCAAGGCAGAATATTGTTACAACTGTTTTTATTTGTTGCTGAGAACTGTTTTGACCACCAAAAATAATTAAATTCATCATATAATAAGAGAACCTCTACGGTGGAACACCCATTTTTCTCCCCCGGTGGAGCACTGTTTTTTTATTATTGAATTATTTTTTCAACGGTTAGATTTGTAACAAGAACAATTCTGTGCAGCGCACTATAAATTTTTAATACAGACTCGCACAAATTTAACTGTTAAAAAACTAATCCAACAGTTAAAAAACACAGTGCTCCATTGGTGGAGCAAAAATGGGTGTTTCACTTTAGAGGATGCCATTTAATAATTAGAGCAAAGGAACCTACCCATGCCATATAATGCCGCTGTAAGCGACGTTTGTTTCAAGGATTATGCTTAGACTAAAATCATGATTTACGATTCTGTTATAGTATTTTTTTTTTTATAAAATATTTAAATTTTAAAAATTAAAATTATGAATCACGATTCTAAACTCATAGGCGGAAATATCCCACAAGCAGCAAGGTCATGTCAAAATAGAACTAACACACACAAAACTTGAATTAATGCATATGGGCCTGGGGCTACAATCATTACCAACTCAAAATAAATGCTTTCGCTGCGAGGACATTGCCCTGTACGCACACTCAGGGTAAAACAAGTCCAAACCAAATAATGCCATATCACATCTACATCAAGAACATAGAACTTTATTCATAATTTGATGTATCATTGATCCATCATGCTCCTCCATTTCCTAATTTTAACAAAAGCTCAATACAATAAAACAATGGAGAATTTTGCCATAGAATATTTAAAAAAAAAAATACCACAACGTGTGATACGGATTCTAACCATCATATCTTCATCAAGTTCTAATGAGTTAATGTTTATGATGTAATCATCAGACGATTAAGAATTATTACATCCTACCGATAAGTTATTTTTTGGTATCTTGCCGAGAATTCTCTTGCAATAAAATAAAATATGTGAATATGTGATGAGGCAAAGTGACACATCCTGTTTAGGTATCAAAATTTTCTATAAAATATGGTGGTGAAAAGGAAAAGGAGGACTTGCCCAATGGGCCATCACACAGCTCAACTACTAAAAATCTCAAGCAATTTTATGGAAGTTGAATGTATGGTTCGACCTCTTTTCAGTGACTAGGCCTTGTTCGGCAGAGTGGTTTTTGAGTGAAAAACTCAAAAAAATGTAACTCGAGTTATAACTTTATTCGAGTTTATGTTCTTTTAAGTTTGAATTTGAGTTTGAACTCGAGTTTGGAACTAAAACTCGAGTTTAAGTTTTCCCTTCAACTCGAGTTCAGAAACTCGAACTCAAGTTAATGAACAGTATTTTTTCTATTCTTAAAAATGATATAACTTTTTCGTTTTAATTCTGATTGAGATGATTTTTTTTCTATGCGTTAACAATGAAAAGACGAATAAAACTAGACCCATATACCCTATTAAAATTTTTCATCAGCATTGAGTTTTTATTAAAATACTATCTAAATACAAATTCAAGTTTTAACTTACTCAAACACAAACTCAAAAAAGATTCTTATCTCAAACCATAACTCAAATGTACACAACCAAACACAAACTCAAATTACAACTTCAATTCAAGTTATAACTCAAACTCAACTCAAAATCTACACTCAAGTTACCTAACTCAAAAACATCAAAAGAACAAGCCCCAGATGTCGTCATCTAGTGGCTGAAAAAACAGACTGCACAGTACATCCCAAAATAACAAGTTGCACCGAAATTCTAACCCAATTTTATGCTTTTACTGTGCAAAAGTCAAAACATTGTTCTTTGCAAGTCAACAATTTGGGAAAAAAAATACAATTAATGTATAACACCCAACCTCAACTTGAATATAAGAGTGAACATATTTAATGGAAGCAGGTAAGAAAAATGTGAACCAGTTCCAATGATAATCTCTAGGCTACTAATAGTAATGTAATAATGATCAATACTGTATATTTTTACTAAAGTTGAAAAAATATATGGAAGAAGATATTAGAACCCCTGAAGTGAGTGGAATATCAAAAGGTCCATGTCCAAAAGAAGCAGGGGAGACAAAAATCATCCCTTTATACTTTTCATTCGGATTACCAATGTACAAAGCTAAAATGAGGAGACAAAACTATGGATTTTAGCTTTTGGGAACTCAATATACTATCAAATTTTTTTTTTTTGTTGTTGTAACTTTCCATCTGTTTGTAACAACTTCAATCTGCTCTTTGTACAGTGGTTTTAAACAAGAGGATATACAGCTTTTGATCCATTGAGAAGTATAGAAACCCACCTACAGAATGCGTCACAAAGGACCCAAAACTCGTCCCGACAATACAATGCCATGCTGGTCCATATACCCCATCAAACTCCTGCCAAAAAAAGGAAACAAAAATCCCACAATTATTTCATTTATTTACCAATCAACCCCAGATTCCAATTATTCTTCCACAGGACAAACTACTCCAAAAATTTAAAAACACGTCATTAAACTTTGGAAAGGTCCTTTTTTTTTTTTTTACCCCCCCTTTTGTTCCTAAAACACAACTTTTGAATCATTAGAATAAGGACATACTAATTAAATCTTAACCCAAATACAATCTAACAACAACACTAATAATTAATGATGATTAGTGATTGATTACCTTCTTGAGAGTTGAGGCAAGTGTTTTGGAGGTGAACTTTTCCAAGCTATCATGAGTCTTTCTGGCACACTCCACGGCGTGGATCTGCATAAAAGGCGGCATATCAACCGACACCACTTTCACACCATTACTAGCAAAAACATCCGCCAGCTCAACGTGGGGGGTCCCACAGAGGGACCTTCTTCTCTCAACAATACCAAAACACTTCTTCTTCTTCTTCTGCCCTTCTTCAGAACTCTTCAAAGAAGCCATCTTTTGAACAATTTCTTCCAATTCTTCTTCTTCTTTGAAAAGCTTCTTCTTTTCCACTTTACACAATAAAGACTTCTTCTTGGAGGAATCTACTATGGCGGAGGTTGGCCGGTTTTGGGAAGTGGGTTTTTGGTATCTTCGGATTCTGTGGTCTGAGTTGAGAGATTTTGAGAGATTGGAGGTGGAAATGGAAATTTCCATGGAGGGTTTGTAAGAGGGGAATGTTATGGGATCAGGGTTCGGGTGATGAAAAGGTTTTGTGGGTTTTGGTTGTCGTTTGAGGAAGGTGGTGGTGGGATCCATGGAAGACGCCTTGGAGTCTGCGCCTGCTAACGTGCGCCGTTGGGTGGTGCGGTGAGCCATGGGGGTGGCGAAGACTGAAAGGTGTGTCAATGGATAGGGAGCAAGAGAAACGAGAGGTGGTTTTGTCTGTTTTTGTTTTTGTGTTTGTGTTTGCGTTGTATTAAAGTATTGATAACGTGGGGTAGGATTGTGGGACCCACTGAATGTGCGGGATGATCAGGGCGGTGCGATCAGATCTAATATGCGCCGGGAGCTGAGGACAAGGGTGTACCTGCTTTTGTGGTAGCTTTTTTGACCGTTGACTTGAGTTTGATCTACACTTCTATGGTGTTTGGTAAGTCCTCCAGGGCAAGCATGCATTAATTGTATGATCATTCTGTGGGGGTGGAACATGGAATGGCCACCCCCAGCTTTTAATATTGATTTATTTGATAGATAATTTACCCACCGACCGATCTAGAGTATACTAGAATTTGGATCCTCAAAACGGGGCGGGGCGGGGCGGGACGGGACGGGACTAATGAGGTGTGGTAAATAAAGAGAGATATTGGTCCCGTTCATTTCGTTGATTCGAGTTTAGAATTCGAGTTTTGCTACAGTAAAAAACTCTCACAAACAATCACATCTAACTTTTTTGCTACAGTAAAAAGCTCTCACATAAAATCACATTTCAACTCAAATTAAAAACTCAAATCAGCGAACTAAACGGACCCTATAATTTTAGAGGAAGGGGTTAAAAATAAAAAGGGGCGTCTGCCCACCTCGTCCATAGGTGGGTGGCTCCGCCCCTGCTTGAAGGAAATAATTGTCCACTAATGCAATTATTTCTTGGTCAAAGTACTATTATAGTTTTGGAGCTCATTAACCTCAATGATAGAGAATTCGTGTAAACTGTAAAAGGATGGCTAGTCATTTATTGATAGAAAGAATTACAGTCCCATCTTCCAGATGGAGAAAGGTGATCCAAAACTAACTTTGAGGAGCTTTCTGTTATAGGAAGTATCATATGTTTCTATAAATTGGATTTGATCAAAAACAGGTCAAACTAACAAAACCTGGTATTATATATGACCGAATAGTTTTGTATAACCGTAAAATTCTCAAAATGTTTATCCCACAGCAATGATTCTACAAGTTGTTCAATTCCATGTCGCAAGTAACAAATGTGAAATAATAAAAAATGTTAAGAAATCACACGTGAAATCTCGTGCATGAACTTGACATAGTAGAATCAAAAGAAAGATCTTGAAGATTTGACAAGGCCAAGTTTTTTTTTTTTTTTTTCTTTTTCTTTTTTCCCTAGTGGTTACGGCAATGGTATTTAGATTCAAAATGGGAAGGCACAACAGCCAACAAGGTAGCATATAGAGCCAAAACAATTTTCTTTCAAGAATGACTCACGCCAAGACACCAACCGGATCAACAAATTCTATGTCTACACGAAGGGCATAGATTACAAACAAAGACTAGAATTGTAGAAAGAAAACTTTCTGCACCACCGTGTCAAGTCATATTGTTACCATAAAAAGAATTAGAATATAGATACGACGGGGTCAACACCGTAAACATATCCCTAATTACATCATCAAGTCTGGCGAGATGTTAACCTCCAGTCAAGTTTTCTATCTCCTACAGATGTACAATAAGAAAGGCGAGTTATCAGAACAAATAGAATGCAAAGCCACCATACCACAGCATGCCTTGCACAATCAAACAGAGCTTTGCCTTGCACAATCAAACAGAGAGCTTTGCCTGGCTTGGGGGGCTCGGAAATTAGCTTTGAAATTAACTTCATGTCACGTTCAAGAATAACACTATCATAATTCTAGTTCCACGGACTTGGCAATCGAGTATCTCTAAAAGTAGAAGTGCCCCCAGACGCTGCAGGAGACGGAGATGATGCAACGTAATTTGTTCCAGACACAGATAACGTCGGCACATTTGTAGGATGCCCCTGATGGGCCATGGGAGTAAACCGCAGTGGACTACTAGTGGTCCCTAAGCTGGTTCGAGAGGTTGGATGAGGAGCCTGAACACAAATGCAATGCAAACCCATTGATTGAATCTCTACAGCATACTGAAGCAAAAACTGCATTTGAACCTTTGAATGTAACCATGAAATGCTTTGTACTGATCTAGAATATCCTAGCATAAAACAATTTGATATGTGCTTGGATCCTAATTAACTTAATTTAAACTACGCAACCATGGCTTAGGAAGACAATCAAATATATCCCATTAAAAAAAAAAAATCCGATGAGTTCCTAATTCTGGTCAATCTCTTTTTCATGTTAGAGTTCAGATAACTACTTCGAATAGCCCTAGTTATCTAAGAACCCGACAAAATTTGTGCTTTCTGCTAAGCCAATCTCATCCAAGGCAAGCATGAGCAAATTACAGCCTACCCTAATTTCACAAATAGAACACGAGATGGCAAAAAACTAACAGAGGAATCATCATGAGCAAAAAAAAAACAAAGAGCATCTAGATAAGCAAATTGCAACATGCTTAAGACACTTTATCATGAAAATAACAATACCACATTGTGTTGAATGAATGGAGGCCTTCTAATAGGAGACTCTGAAGATGGTGACATGCTGTTCATCCGGAATATCTGACGAGAATGAAAATTCTGATTTGAAAGAGCATCAGTTTCTACTCCTTCTACATCCCCACTAAGAGGAGCCGATGGGCGAAGAGCATTTCCTTGCATATTAATCCGCCTCTTCAATTCCTCCTCCGCATTTAAAATCTGTAAACCACCAGCAACCACTTCAAAGATAAGTCCTTAAACCATTGTAAAGCTAGAACACAAAGTCATAAAAACACAAGACTGTACCGAACAAAGTGATACAGACCAGAGAAATTTACCTGCTTTAACAATTGTACTAGACTATGTTTCTTGTCATTCAAAACCTGCAACTTCTCCTCAACTTCTGTTTTCCTTTTCTGTTTCTCATTTGGCAGGTCCTCTTTTTTTCCCACCTTCCAAACAAAGATACGAGAATAATCACGGAACATTGCATCACATATAAATGTAAAAGTACGTGATTTGAAACCGAGACTTTAGGTTGACGAAGATCAACATCAACAACAGATTGAGCCTAGCTCGAAGTTGAGGGCATTTTGAAAGAGCCAAAGATTTAATTTTTGGAACTCAATTTCATCTCTTGTGCTGATTACGCGCATGGAGCAATCCTTCCTATACTTTAGTATAATCTATGACTTAACTCTTCTTTTTATCATTATGAATTGTTGATAATATCAAATTTTACAAAACTGATCAATGTAAAATTCATTTCTAAAAATAAAAACTAAAAGGTACATGATTTCACCTTATTCCCAACACAAATCCAATTGTGTAACATAAATAACAAAAATCATTAATAAAGAATTCAAACTCAATTCCATTAATGAGGAACAATGTCCATTAAAACTGCTTCATATTCTAAATTCCATTCCAATAACGCTTCACATATGAAAAGGAAAGAAAAAAGAAAAAAAAAACTAGTTGACAAATGGCTTTTTTTTTTATTACACATTCACATAAAAATATAGACAACTTTCCCATACCTCCGAATTAGGGTTAGCAAATTCCTCAACTTTCTGAACCTCCACGGCTAGCTGTTTTGCACCGTCGCCCACCGGATCACCTCCTCCCTCGGGCGCGTTAGGTCCAGAATCAGGCAACGAATCAGACTTATCGACCGGCTTCGCTGGAGAACCATTAGAGTTCGAATCTCTGCCGTCTTTGGTCTCGCCGGACGGCCCTTCTCCCCAATCGGCGGCGAACTTCTCCGCTCTGGCTCGAGTCTCGGGAGAGGCCGCACCGGGATCCTCCTTCGGAGCTTCTTCGTGGTGTTCGGGAACTGAGTTAGGGTTAGGGTTAGAGGAGGTGGCGGCCGCGGTGGCGGTGGAGGGACGAAGGCGAGAGAGGGCTCGGGAGCGGCGGGACAAGAGGGTTCGGAAGTCTTTGAGGGAGATTTGAGGGGTTGGCATAAGCCATCGCCGAGGCACGTCGGGTACTCTGTGGAGGTTTCCCCTGTACAGCGAGATCGCCCCCATTTTTTGTGAGGAAAAACTCTCTCACTCCCCCTCTTTCTCTCTTTCCTGGGTTTTCTATTGTTTTCAGTTTTTTTATTACTCATTTGCAATTTTAATTTTCTCTCCTCTGAGAATAACTTTAACTTACCTGCAGAATTTGTTAGCTTTTTTATCTCCCTTTTTTTTTTCTTGCCGTGATTGTAGAACTTATTGAAAAAAAAAAAAAAACCCCCTATTAATTAGGAAAAAAATAAATAAATTAGGGGTAGTTTTTTATTTTATGGATAGTTTTTTATCGTATTAAAAATTATTTATTTTATATATATTTTTAATTTAATATGATTTTAATTATATTTAAGAGTTAAAAATTGACCAATAAATGATATATAAACTTGTTTGTGGTTTATGATGTTTATTTTGACTTTATTTGTTTCGTTTAAGTCGAGAATATGAATTAAAAATTGAATTTATATAAAAAAAAATACTATAAAAGAAATAAAAAATTAGTTGTAATTTGGAGTGGCGAAATCAACATAACTTTTCAATTTTTTGAAGGATTTATGTTTATTTATTTAATTATTATTTTTTTGAAGGGAATGATGTTTATTGTTTATGTATATGTATTTTTTTTTTGTTGGTAGGGGAGCTACTGTTTAGTCTGTTTATGTATTGAGGTTGCTTGCTATTTTGATTATTCCAACATAAAAAAAAAATGTTAGTTAGATTATCAATTAAACGACATGGCGTTTTCACTATAAAGCATCAGGCATGCATAAAACGATATGTGGTTCGGACATGAAAATTGTATGTCGGCTGACTGTAAAACGGCGTGCGAACAGTTTTCCAAAGGTTTTGCTATTTTTGAGAAAGAAACGACATGTCGTATTTTGAGTTAAAGTATGTGATCATTCATCAAAATTAGCGAGATGTCGTTTGAAAACAAATGTTTGTTGTCGTTTTAACTATTAACGACTTATCGTTTGCTATAGAAGCTCGTGGTCGTTTAAACAATACATAGCATATCGTTTGTATGTAAAAGCTTAAGCTCGTTGTTGTTTTAGACTTTTACGGCCCATTTAATTTGCTCATGTGAGTTCTTAATTTAAATTGAGATATAATTTTATGTGAGTTTTTTAGTGTAGTAAAAAAATTAGATGTGATTGTTTGTTTTGAGAAATTTTTAGTATAGCAAAACTCAAATTCTAAACTTTAATCGGTGAAATGAACGGAGTCTAATTTTTTAAAATTTGTCTCATTTAGTCGAACAAACAACGATTAAGGGTCTGTTCTTTTGGAGTGTGACTTGAGTGTAGTTCTTGAGTTAAATTTGAGTTATAACTTGAGTTGAAGTTGTAACTTGAGTTTGTGTTTGGTTGTGTACATTTGAGTTATAGTTTGAGATAAGAATCTTTTTTGAGTTTGTATTTGAGTGAGTCAAAACTTGAATTTGTATTTAGATAGTATTTTAATAAAATCTCAATAGTGATAAAAAATTTTAATAGGGTATATGGGTGAGGTTTTATTCGTCTTTTTGTTGTCAGCGCATAGAAAAAAAATCATCTAATCAGAATTAAAACGAAAAAGTTATAGCATTTTTAAGAATAGAAAAAATATTGTTAATTAATTTGAGTTCGAGTTTCTGAACTTGAGTTGAAGGGGAAACTTGAACTCGAGTTTTAGTCCCAAACTCGAGTTCAAACTTAAAAGAACACGAACTTAGGAGACGTTTGGTTCATGGATTAAAATCATGTGATTAGAATTATTTTCGATTTATGTGTATTTTTTGTGAAAGAAAATACTATAACAAATCATAAATCATAATTCCAATCATGATTTAAATCCTCCAACCAAATATCTCTTTAAATAAAATTGGAACTCATATTATTTTTTTTTTACTTTTTAACCCTGCCGAACACCCCCTAAGTTTCTCATGTAAGACGTTTTACATAAATTACATGTCGGTTTTTTACTCCGTTTTATGATCTTTTTTAAGGACGACACATCGTTCGGTTTTTTTTTTTTTTTTTTTTTTTTTTTTTTTTTTTAAAAAACAGCATTTTGTTTGAGATTAAATAGGTATGACAAAAGACATAACATTCTAAAGATCTACATCAACAATGTGAACAACCAGCTATTTTTGATACATATCAGACACCATAATGCTTGAAAGAAGAAAAAAGAAAAAAGGGGAAAAAAAAAAAAAAAAAAAAAGAAACCACAGTCCTACCACGAATCATACCTTACTAGAAATCTCACTACGCTATTCAGGTTCAGCATTAGCCCTTATGAACCTTCCTTTATTCTTCAACAAAAACAAGTTAATTAGTAAAACGCCTCTTCAAGAAGTTCAGGAAACTCCAGCAACATCTCATTCTCTCTAGCAAGCAATGCCTCCACAAAAGAAGTCTCACACGAAGACGTCTCGTTCACTTCATGATCATTGCTTAACACCGTATGATCCCCAGCACCATCTTTAGGTCCCTCAACGTCCTGTGAAGTCGTGTGGATATGGCTTTCTGGTACTAGATTCCGAGGCGAAAACTCGGCGACTTTTGCATCTCCTTGAGCTTCATCACTCGGTAGAAACGCGTCTTCAAGAAGAAAGTCATTCCAGTTGAAGGCAAGAGGGGGCAACTCTTGGGCAGCAGAGGAGCAAGTTGAATAATCAGAAGAGGAGGAAACTGGTGAGGATGAGGGTGAGAATGCAAAAGAAAATGAAAATGCGGGTTCTTTGCTAATCAAACCGGGCGGCGGATAGTTTGAGGCCTCAGTGACCAACTTTATGGCTTGGAGCTGAGCAAGAAGGTCAAGTGACTGGTTTCTGTGGTTAAGAAAGTTGCTGTCTTGGTTTGGCTCAGTTTTGGGTGAGACCAAATTTGGTTTTGTGTTTGGGGTTGAAAATGCTTCTCTTTTCATGAGGATTGCATTCTTCAAGTCTTTGTTGAGGGAACCAATTCTCATGCCGGACTTTGGGACGCCACCAATGTTTCCATAATCAGCCAGGATTTGAGAGTAAGGCTTGTGAGTAACTGGATCAATTCCCATTCCAGAGAGCTTCTTTCTCAGCTTTGTGTTCCAGTAGTTCTTCACATCCTCGTCTGTCCGGCCTGGAAGTTGTTGTGCAATCAGAGGCCACCTGGATCCAATGACGGAGCCATAAATTTTATTTTTTATGTTTTTTTTATTTTCAGTTGAGACTATGAAAAAAATTTAAGAGGTACCATTTTTTTCGTCATAAAGAATGTGAACATTGTTGTATATTGAATGGATGCACATATATAAATTTTCTGAAAAAGTGGTGTTACAACAGAAATTGTAGTATAACTTGAACAGTAGGAGAGAGAGAGAGAGAGAGAGAGAGAGAGAGAGAGAGAGAGAGAGAATACTATCATTGTTCTTGCATTGGTAACAAAAAAGAAGCTGTTAAAACAGTTGGGAATCACATTATGTACATCATTCATTGGCATTTAGCATGCTCAGCTGGGGTGTAGGCTTCGGATAATTTTCATTTATTTCCTTTCACATTTTTTAAAGGTTTTTCAAGCTGTTAAAACAGTTGGGAATCACATTATGTACGTCTAATGAAATTTCCTGTTGCACATCGCAGAAGAATGCAACAGTCGAACAAACCTAAAAGCCTTTCACAATAGAACAAACATTGGCAAAACTAGTTCAAGAAAGAGGTAAATTTGATAAGCATTTGAAAATCACTGTTTGTCTGTTCGTTTCGTTCATTCTAATTAAGAATTTGAGTTATAAAAATGAATTCATGTGCGAGAAAAATATAACAGAAAAAATTAAATTTGAATTTTTGTGAGAGAAAATACTATAATGAAAATTTGAGTAGTTATGATTCAAATCAATGAAATAAATGGGGTGATTTCAATTTTTTTGCCATAAAAATCTCACCGCAAAATATTAAAAATAACAACAATAATAATAACTACAAATAGTACTAGTGTTTACCTGCTGCCAATGGTTGCATGAAGTTTGATAATTAATTCTTCTTCTTTAGGTGTGAAGCTGATCTGATCATGCTTAATGAGATCAGGCCTCAGGTGATTATTAGTCCATCTAAGCTTGCAACTTTTCCCACATCTTCTAAGACCTGCAAAAACACTCAAATACACCATTCTATGTAAGTTTCAATTTCATTGTCGTTTGATTAAATTTTAAAAAAAAATTGGGAAAATACAATTAAATATGATGGAAATCTCCAGTATTTCAACCTGCTCTTTTTGATACATGTTCAAGTATCTTTGCATCTTCCTCTGCTGACCATTTCACATTTGGCTTGTCACTACAAGGAGGTCTCACCATATTTATTTGTTTCAAAATCTCACATTAAAATTAAATAAAGAGAAAGAAAGAAACGAGAGAAAACACTAGACAAAAGGGAAAAAGGAAAAAGATTCTAGACTATAAGAGAGATTAAAATTTTGATTCAGTTTAAGACTGTGAGAAGAGGGTATGATGATATATATGTTGGTTTTAAAGGTATAATAACAAGTCTGGAGGCAAGAAAAGCATGGGCTTTGGGGGTTCAAATTAACATAATTTGTATGACAAATGGTATCTCAAACTAACCGTTTTGAGATGAAAAAAAATAAAAAATAGTGGGTAATAAAAGTATCATTTTCTTTCTCTAACTTCACCATTTTGAGTCAGGTTCAAATCGGGTGGGTTATTTGGTTAAACTAGATTAAATCTAGAGTAAAAATAACTTAAATAATAAGATTTGGTTAGAGGGTTTTAGCTTATTCTTTCAAATGAAATGACTTAATATTTATTAGTCTCCAGAAATCACAAGTTTGATGAGTGTCACTACTTTAAACAAAACCCATTCAACTAAAATTGAAGAAACGACATGCAATATTCATTTCAGCCTTCTTGCAATATGCAACAACCTTATCTTTCTCGCATTATAAGGTACTATTTTTCTCCATAGACTTAAATTACTCAAAATAAAGAAGTTACTAACTCGTTTGTAATTTTTTTTTAAGAACAAAAAAAAAAATGTTATAAAGATAGAGTGTGACGTACTCAAATTTAAGATATAATGATATGTGTCAACGGATATAATGTGTCAAAAACTGTCACATTTACATTGTAATGTAAAATTAACACAACGTCAAAGTCCAAGCAATGTCACGAAATAGCTTTGAACTTTGAGCACTACGAAGTGAAGCATTAGCAATACTTCTAAAAAATAGATATAGATATGACTACACTCTAAAATTCCAGAATAGTTAACACAACGTCACAAAAGGGAACAAAGTGGTGAATATTTATGGCCCGTTTAATTCGCCGATTCGAGTTGATATGTGATTTTATGTGAGAGCTTTTTATTGTAGCAAAAAAGTTAGATGTGACTGTTTCTGGGAGCTTTTTAGTATTTGTTGCCTAGATGTTCCACTTTGTTAGAAAGTAATTTTTTTTATATGGACTATTTTGTACATTTTATTTTTAGTTTTAAAGAAAAATATGAATGCACGGCATACTTTTTTGGTAAAAAAAAAAAAAAAAAAAAAAAAAAAAAAAAAAAAAAAAAATAAAATAAATTTTAAGAAGGGGGGTGTTTAAAAAAAAAAAAAAAAAAAAAAAAAAAAGAAGCACAAATTTAACATGAATTTGAATCACGGATGTGTAGTGTTTAAAATATTCATATACATGGCATACCTTTTGGTAAATTCAAATTACAATCTATCAACGTATAAATTTAACATAAATTTGAAACTATAAAATAACAAATAACCTTTTTTAAATAAAAAAAAACATTATTTTTTTCTAATAAATGTTTTTTTTTTCTAATAGAGACTTCCACATCCAACAATACAACCGCATAAGAACGAGACACAAACTAGATGAAACTCCCAAACACAACAAGCTTTTTATAAGCAGCTAAGAACATATTTAAGCAAAGAAAAAAAAAGTCTCAGAACATAATAGTTAATCTGAACCTGTCATGTCCACTGCAATATAGAGCGTTTTTACTTATCTTGATGATTAAAATCTCGCTATTCGCATTAAATAAGTCTACTGAGTGGATAGATAAGAATTGAGACATAACTTAATAAGACTTATCATTTTGTGAGTGATGCATTTTTCATAACTTTTACTTATCTTGATGATTAAAATCTCGCTATTCGCATTAAATAAGTCTACTAAGTGGATAGATAAGAATTGGGACATAACTTAATAAGACTTATCATTTTGTGAGTGATGCATTTTTCATAATAAAGGTACCAAATGTTTACTTTTGCCGTCTAAATCGTGTTATTTATAGCACATTTTATACTCGTACATGTTCAAAGCAATGGAAGGACTAAGGAGACGCTTTAACGGGCTCTTTACCACAGTGAAGAAGTGATGAACTAGTCAAAATGCCCACCATGTGTTGTTTACACGTGCACCAAGCATTTTGTTTTATTTTCTGTTGAATTTGTCATTGAAGTTGATGTATTCACCGAGTTTGAACATCCTCAAGGAAAATTCAGCCAAAAAAAGTTCCTATAAAGAAAGAAGAATGAATATTGACGCAATTTTTTTTTCTTCTAGACCCTTTTAAAAATTAAGAAAATGAAACAAATATTCTTTAAAATATATGACTTTTATATTTTTAATCTTTACATTTAATTCATATTTTTTTTATCAAAAAATATTAATTAAAAATAAAAAATAACAATTTTAAAATAATACATTTAAAATGGTGAGTTAATTAATTTTCTCCTGAAAATTTTTTTTGATAATCAAGTGTCGGTTTTGTTTGGGAATTAAGATGGCGGCTTTGACCATTCAACAAGCTGGTTCATGTGTCCAATTATGACACGCGGCACAAATATGAATTCTCGGACACCCAAAGGCCCTGTTCACTTCACCGATTCGAGTTTAGAATTTAAGTTTTGCTACAGTAAAAAGCTCTCAAAAACAGTCACATCTAACTTTTTTGCTACAGTAAAAAGCTCTCACATAAAGTCACATTTCAACTCGAATTAAAAACTCGAATCAGCGAACTAAACGGGCCCAAAATGTGTCCCCAAATCCCTAATCGATTTTGCTAGAAAAAGACATCTTCACTCGTAAGATTAAAATATAATAGAAGGACTTTTTTATTTTTTTTTATTTGCTATGAATTTGCTCTCTAATCTTTTATATTGAGAAATATTAAAATTGATTTTTTTTGAATGATTTGAAGTTTTGCTAATCACAAAAAGGATTATCAATGTTCTCATGTCTCCATTTAACTTTTATAAAAAGAATCAACTGATCATACCGGTGCAATAATGAAGAACATAAACCTACGGTCTATCATTTTACAATTCAAATTTTACTTGTCTACCATTAGCTATTTATATCCACCATAAGTGAATATTGCTGGTTTTAAAATTGAAACTCTCTTTGTAAAGATGTGGGGATTCAAACTGTGAACTTAACGGAGGAGACTTAAAGAAAACATCCTTATCACCATGTCGTCACCTTTATGGTTCGGCCCCGTTCACTTCGCTGATTTGAGTTTAAAATTTGAGTTTTTTTACAGTAAAAAGCTCTCACAAACAATCGCATCTAATTTTTTTACTACAGTAAAAAGCTCTCACATAAAATCACATCTCAACTCGAATTTTAAACTTGAATCAGCGAAGTGAACGAGGCCTAAGTTACTTGTCCAATTCATTCCCTTCATTTTTCTCTTTTATCAAACAATCATGAATCTCATAAGTCATAATCCTACCACTAATCCTCTTATCTCTCTCATTTCAATTTTCTCTAATCATACTAAACAAGCTCTAGAAATACAGATAGAATTATGATAAAGTAAAATAAAATAAGATAAATCAATTAATAAGTTGGCGAATTTTATACTTTTCTCAATGATATATGATTATCAAATAAAACACACGGTTTACTTGCACCCTTTGAATATGGTATTTTCATACCTCAAGTATAATAGTTAGAATTGGTTGGTGAATATCCTTAGTTTTGGGGTTTTTTCGGTGGAGGGATAAAGAACATGTAATAATTGGTCTATAAGTTTAGTTCATAAATTCAGAATCATGAGTCAGAATCATTCTTGATTTACGTGTATTTTTTATGAGAGAAAATATTGTAACGAACCACAAACTATGATTTAAATTATGACACGAATACACCAATCAAACGCAATATAAAAGATAGGCTATTTTATATGCTGAAAAGATACCATTTTTCAGTATACAATATTAAACTCCAGCCCATAGTTACTGACAATATACATATGACATGTCAAGAATATCGGAAGCTTATTCTGGATGCCAACCAAACTGTAGAGATAAATGTTTTTAGTTTGGAGCATTATTATCCATGCACAATCTAGCAATATATTACCGATAAGGACTTTTGCTTATTATTATTTGAATATGATAATCAAGTTTTTTTTTTTTTTTTAAATAAATGATAATCAAGTATTTGTATAAGCGAAAATAATGAGAATCTAGTCCATTCATATTACCAATTACATACCTGTATTTTTGTTCCTTTTCTCATAAAGGATACACGTGACAGATAATATAAAGCCTTTTGAGCCTCAACTCTTTTTTTTTTTTTTTTATTTAATTTAGCTAGCTTTCCAGAGTAAGCAAAAACATTTATAGGTATATTCCATTTGGTTTGATGCAATCATACTTCCAGTGATGGAAAATAGTGGAATCTTTTTAGGCATGTTAAATATTACTATATTGGAGAAAATGATTAGATGTTAGGACCAAGTAATGGTTTGAACAGTTGGTTTACATATGATAAAGAAATGGTACATGTTCATACAATATTAAATTATTAATCAAATAGTTATTATGCTCTTACTCTATCTGATGTTGAACGAGATAAAATAGGAATAATTAGGATAATTGAATTTATGGTTGTAATTATCTATTAGGATAATTTAAGTAAGATTTATCTAAGTTATTTGAGTATTTAGTTGAGATTATTTTATTGTTAGCTTTCAAGTCTATAGATAGAGATGGTATTTGAATGAGGATTTTGATGATTAATTGAATACATATATTCTATTCCCTGCTTTTCTATTTCTAATTGAATTTAGATTTTAAGGTAAACGTAATAGAAGAACTAATTTCGCCGCACCAAAGTAGTTAAGTATTAGACTCCGTTTATTTTACCGATTTGAATTTAGAATTGGAGTTTTGTTATAATAAAAAGTTATTAAAAACAATCACATTTAACTTTTTTATTACAATAAAAGACTCTCACATAAATTACATCTTAATTTAAATTAGTGAACTAAATAGGCGGGGGGTGTTTGATTGGAGGATTCAAACCATAATTTGAAT